TTTACTGATAAAGGTCAGTTTTCAGGCAAGGTCAATCCTCCTTGTAGGAACTAGTGGAGACTGGGATCTGTCAACAGGATGAAGCTGCGTTTTAATAAGGCACCAGATGTTTAGCAGTCAAGACATTAATATTGGTTCAATAATAATATCAGTTTTTACTTAACACCCGTGACATTGTCCCAGTTCTTTTGGCCCAGTGTGAATTTGAGTTTGACACCCCTGCTGTAGAGCATTCTACATTATTAAAACACTTTCGATTTAAAATGTATTGTAGGTACACAGAATATGATTGTGAATAACTTGTAAGTTAGACAGTAATTTTATGAGCCAGAAAAGATAACTATTAAAGGGAATTAGATAAAGTGTCTTGTGTCCTCAGAGGCAAAAGGAGTCTGGAGATGCAGGATAATGGATAAGTTGAGAGATATTCATTATCAACCTCTTGGTGTCAGGGTGGCCCAACCTGTGTCCTGGTAGCAAGCTAACCCTTTTCATTTGATGAAACACATGGCTTTGTGAAGTTCCGTAGCGTGTTAAACTACATACTAGAATTAACGCTGTTTGCTATCAGCTTTGTTAGATTCTGAGAAAAGCTCAAATAAGTTGACAATGAAGCTTCTATCATATATAAATATCTAGGATATTATATATTCGATAGAAGTTCATATGCCAATGAGCTTGGTCTATTTTTAATCCAAAGATTAATGTTTAATTTAAGATAAACTTTTGTTATTAAATTTAATTATTTATCTACTCAGAAGTTAAAGGAATCTGCTTTTTCAATAACCAAAAATATACACCATTCTGTGTTTAATTTCAAAGGAAAGATTCAGGTTTTTAAAGTTAAGAATTTATTACTAACACTTTTAAAAATGACAATTTGAAATGACAATTTTTAACAGACAATTTTATATTAAAACTTGTTATAAAAGCAAACCTGTGACTGAATGGAAGCTAAATTGAAAATGTGAGTTTTGTATGCGTGAATGTTCTCAGAAGGTTTCTTTCAGCGAGAGAAGCGTTTCTGGGTGGAAAGTTGTTTTGCAGCTAACTGATGGTTATTAGAAGAAACAGCATACAGATGCCATCTATCAGAAGTGTCTACCTCACCCAATATCAGGAGACCCTCTTCTGGAGCCGAGATGTCAGGTGGAGATGGTTTCCTCCGGGCACGAGGCTGGGTAGAAGGACCTTAGTGCGACCAAATCGGTCCTGAGATGTCTCCTTGGGTCACTCGACTGGTGGAACTATTAGCGTCTCAAAATCAATAATTCTGAAAGAGTTTTGCTTCAGCTGGAAACAGGTGTGTTTATTCGAAGCAATTTATCAGCGTGACAGAACAGCTTAGTAGAGATTCGGGCGGCCGCCCCTTTTCTCCTGGTGGGTTCAAGAACTGACTTACAGCTGCAGGATTTTTGGTTTTAACAAAACCCTCAGAACACGCCCTCTCAGCGTCAGAAAGCTCGGTCATGAGGTAAAGACGTGATGGTTTTACCCTTTACCCTGGATCCCTTCTGAATGAGGCTGGGTAATGTGCAAGATGACCTTCTGGTTTTCTGAACACACACTAGGATTATCAACAATAATTATTGTACCCAAAGCATAATAAGTCATTTCAGTAATTAAAATACATTTATACTGAATCAAGAGATTATTTTTGATGGTTGTAATAACAGTAATAAAGTCAAAAGTTTATTAAATTATTATTTAAAATTATTATTGTGAACATCTTGAAGTGTCCTTCATCTTGGGACGGAACAGCAGCAGATAAAGATGGTTTCAGCAGATATCACGACTCCTGGTGTGGTTAATCTGTGGGGCAAAGTTACACTCGACCCAGCTTGACCTAGCTTGGAAAATGTGACCTTTGTCAACCCAATGGGTCCCTTGCCTCCATCAGTCCATCTCTGTTGACTATGATCAACAGCTCACTGAGCCAAGGCTGTGTTCCATCTTACTTTAAAAATGCAGTAGTGACTCCTCTCTTAAAGAAACCCAACCTTGACGCCAGCTCCACCAGTAACTTTAGGCCCATTTCTAAACTACCTTTCATCAGTAAAGTACTTGAGAAGGTTGTGGAAACCCAACTCAGATCCTGGTTTTCCAAGTCAAAGATCTCTGACCTCTTCCAATCTGGCTTTCTGAAGCAGCACTCAACCGAGACTGCTCTAGTAAGGGTGCATAATGACCTCCTGATGGCTGCTGATGCAGGGAAATGCTCTGTCATGGTCCTGCTTGACCTCAGTGCAGCTTTTGACACTGTAGACCACAACGTTCTACTAAACAGGTTAAATGCCCTGACTGGGATTTCAGGTTCTGCTCTAGACTGGCTCTCTTCCTATCGCACTAACAGAACATTCACAGTGAAGTCAGAAACCTTCTCCTCAGACACTGCCTCTCTAACATGCGGGGTTCCACAAGGTTCAGTTCTAGGGCCTCTACTATTTGCATTCTATATTCTTCCCCTAGCTGGCATCATTCAGTCTTTCCCAGACATCTCCTACCACATCTACGCTGATGATATTCAGCTCTATATGTCCTTTATGCCACACCAGTTGGACAGGCTGGCCACACTTGTACTCTGCCTGACCCAGATCAGTAACTGGCTGTCCAGCAACTTTCTTGTCCTCAATGCTAACAAGACAGAGACCCTGATCTCTGCACCCCCGGAACTTCAACCAAAAATCGAGTAAGAAATTGCGTCTTTTTGCCCATCAGCCAAGGCCAACATTAGAAACCTAGGAGTTATTTTTGATCCAGTTTTAAGTTTAGACTCGCACGTCAAAACCATCTCCCGCTCTTGTTTCTTCCAACTGAGAAACATTTCAAAAGTCCGTAAACTGGTTTCTACTGCAGATCTGGAAAAAATCATCCATGCCTTTGTGTCATCACGCTTAGACTACTGTAACGCTCTTTTTACTGGTCTCAGCAAAACCTCCCTCTCACGCCTTCAAGCCATCCAAAATGCAGCAGCCAGACTCCTAACCAAATCCAGCAGACGAGCTCACATCACTCCAGGTTTACAGTCCCTCCACTGGCTCCCGGTAGAATATAGAATAGTTTAAAGTTTTAGTCCTGACCTATAGAGCTCTTAACAACCAGGCTCCAAGCTACCTATCTGAGCTTTTATCCCCACACACACCTTCACGGAACCTCTGATCCACATCTGAAAACCTCCTGGCTGTTCCTCGAACCAGACTGAAAACCAAAGGGGACAGGGCCTTTCAGACTATTGCCCCCAGACTTTGGAACAGTCTGCCTTCAAATATCTGTCTCTTGAAATCTGTAGAGGTCTTCAAAAAACATCTTGAAACTCACCTTTTCATCCAGGCTTTCCCCTGCTAAATATTCTAAAAGATGGCTTTGTTCTTGTTCACACCTTGACTTTGTTTTTACTCATGATTTTGGTTACTATTGTTGTCACTGCTATTGTTTTTATGATGTTTTTATTGGTTTGAGGTATTTGCCCTGATTTTACTCATGTTGTACTGCGCTTTGTGATTTATATCTGTGAAAGGCGCTATATAAATAAACTTCAATTATGTTGGGGTTATTAGGAGCGAATAATTAGTAAGCTTTACGTACTTCTGGATTCTTCAATAAATTCTGGAAATATGGGAATATTTACCGAGTTATTAATTAATTAAGATACTCTTTAGGTATCTCCGTGGCACCATCCCTTTTAACCGGGGAAAATTGAATCCAAACGCTACACCAGTCTATCTGAAATTCGTGGAATCAGGAGCAGAGATTTTCACATCAACACAAAACAAATTGCTTGAGACAAACTGAATTTTATAACATTTAACTAAACAAGGAGATTAATAATGCAAAACAATTTGATATAATTGGAGATGTGTGTGTATGAATCAAACCGTGTGTGTGGGGGGTAAATGAATGCTTTGTTTTCCCAGGTGCGCGGGGGAGTGATGTCCTTGGAGTCCTCTGTTCTCACAGAGGTGTGTGTGAAATGGGAGCTTGGAGCTGTCTCCAGCTCTAATACAAAGGAAAAGTTTTAGCTTAAACTCAGTTTCACAGTAAAACTTAAACACTTCAAAAGTTAGCAAAACATTTCAGAAAGATTGATAAACAATCAAGAGATCACTCGTACATTAACATCTGACAGTTTAAACAGCCTGGCCACAGCTGACAACTATTTAAAGATATTAACGAGGACAAATAAACAGTTTACTCTTTACCAAATAACCCGACGAGCGGATTTTGATACGGAAAAGAGGAAAACACGTCTGATAATTTGAAGCAAGTCACACGGTCGACTGCTTATCTTGGTCTAGAAGAGACGAGAAAAGGTAAAAGTTTAAATGAAAAAAAAAATTGCAGGAGAAAACAGATGTTCCAGAGCGAAGGCGTCCCCCCGTCATCCGCGCTGATTTGATGTGATTCTCCGTCGTCCACTCACGAGTGTCTCTCCAACTGGGCTGGAAGAGAGAGAGCGAAGTTTCGTTTTGTGCTGAGTTTATAACTTACAGCGTCTCCGTGAGCCTGATGGAGCAACGCTCGTTTCCAGCCAGGTTCTGATGGAATTGCTGTTTATCAGTCAGCGATCGTTTCCTTCACATCAGCTGGAGTTGAGCAGAAGCGAGCAGATCGGCTGAGTTTCCAAATCCTGCTTTCAGCGGTTCTGTGTCTGATCCGCTTAAATTGATCGGAGCGTGCAACAATTGTGTCCTTCACAGCCAGCTAAACTGGACAAAGAACGCATAAGTTTCGTTTTCGTCTCCCTTTCAGGGACTCGGGAGCTGTTGTTGTGGTGACGTCATCACATTGCTTCCGTGTGCAAAGCATCATGGGAAATGAAGTCTCTTGGCGCTGATGTGATTACTTGCTTTTTCAGAGCAATTTAGCACAGTCTCTTATGAAAAAATCACTGGACAGTAATTTCCTCATGAGGGCAGACCCTCAACACTTACTTACTTACTTACAAATTAAAGGCCATTCATGATGCTACAGTTCACATAATGTTTCTGTGTTTCCTACAGATGTTAATCAGATGGTGCTGGTTAAAGAAGAAGCTCCTGAAGAACAGTGTGCTGGTGTGGACCAGAAGGACCCAGAAGACATCAACATAAAGGAGGATCAGGATGAAATCTGGACCAATCTGGAGAGAGAGCAGCTTCATTTGAAGGAGGAGACCGATGTTGCCAGGTTTACTTCCACTGTAGTCAGTATAAAAAGTGAGGATGATGAAGAGAAACCTCTGTTCTCACAGCTTCATCAGCAGGAAATAGAAGACCGAAATGTTTCAGCAAGCTGCTCAGCTGACCAGATGACAGCAGAAACTGGTGGAGGAGCAGAAGCTAGCTGGAACCAAGATCTGAACCCTCATGAACAAACATCTGATTCTTCAGAAACTGAAATTAGTGGAGATAATGAGTATGATGGCGTAAATGTAGACTCTGATCTGTCAGACTCTATGCCCGAAACTGGAGACAAAGACGATGACTGGAATGAGAACAGGTCTTCTGAGTCAGATGTTAGCACTGTCAACAAATCTTTTAGCTGCCCTGAGTGTGGTAAAACATTTCTCAGCAAGCAGTCTCTCCAAAAACACGCGAGAGTGACCGGTCATTCAGCAAAAAGGTCTTTGGGCTGTTTGGTTAAAAAGAAATGTGTCAGAGTGAAGCAACATTTAAACTCATGCAGGAAAGTGCAGAAAGAACTAAAATCATTTAGTTGTGATGACTGTGGAAAAACATTTAGTGTAAAATCACTTTTCAAGAGTCACATGAGAGTCCACACAGGAGAGAAACCTTTTGCCTGTGAGCTCTGTGGGAAAAGATTTGGCCATAAGACAAGTTTATACAGTCACATGAGAATCCACACTGGAGTGAAACCTTTTGCCTGTGAACTCTGTGGAGAAAGATTTACCTATAAGACAAGTTTAAACAGTCACATAAGTGTCCACACAGGAGAGAAACCATTTGCCTGTGAGCTCTGTGATAAAAGATTTAGCTTTAAGAATAGTTTTAAAAGGCACATGAGTGTCCACACAGGAGTGAAACCTTTTGTCTGTGAGATCTGTGGAAAAAGATTTAACTTTCAGGCAAGTTTAAAAAGTCACATGAGTGTCCACACAGGAGTGAAACCTTTTGTGTGTGAGCTCTGTGGAAAAAGATTTAGTGAAAAATCAAAGTTCAACAGTCACAAGAGAGTACACACAGGAGAGAAACCTTTTGCCTGTGAGCTCTGTGATCAAAAATTTGGCCATAAGACAAATTTAAACATTCACATGAGAGTACACACAGGAGAGAAACCTTTTGCCTGTGAGATATGTGGTCAAAGCTTTGGCCATAAGACAAGTTTAAACAGTCACATGAGAGCACACACAGGAGAGAATCCTTTTGCCTGTGAGCTCTGTGGAAAAAGATTTAGCCGTAAGACAACATTAAACACTCACATGAGAGTCCACATAGGAGAGAAACTTTTGCTTGTGAGCTCTGTGGACAAAGGTTTAGGTGCAAGAAAAGTTTAAACAGTCACATTAGTGCCCATACAGGAGTGACACATTTTGCTTGTGAGCTCTGTGGAGAAAGATTTAAGAAAAAGACATGTTTAAACAATCATATGAGAGGCCACACAAGAGAGAAACCTTTTGCCTGTGAGCTCTGTGGTAAAAGATTTAGCTTTAAGAAATGTTTAAACAGGCACATCAGAGTCCACACAGGAGTGAAACATTTTGTCTGTTAACTCTGTGGAAAAAGATTTAGTGAAAAATCAAAGTTCAACAGTCACATGAGAGTCCACACAGGAGAGAAACCTTGTGCCTGTGAGCTCTCTGGTCAAAAATTTGCCCGAAAAGTACATTTAAACAGTCACATGAAAGTCCACGCCGTGCAGAATCCTTATGCCTGTGACCTCCGTAGTCAAAGATTTGGCCAAACGATACATTTAAACAGTCACATAAGAGTCCACACTGGAGAAAAATATTTTGCCTGTGAGCTCTGTGGTGAAAGATTTGGCCAAAAGGAAACTTTAAACGGGCACATTTGTTGTGAAACTACAAATTAATTATGACCAATAAGATGTGATGATTCCATATACAGGTGCTGGCCAGTAAATTAGAATATCATCAAAAGGTTGAAAATATTTCAGTAATTCCATTCAAAACGTGAAACTTGTACATTATATTCATGCAATGCACACAGACCAATGTATTTCCAATGTTCATTACATTTAAATTTGATATTTATAGGTGACAACCAATGAAAACATCAAATCTGGTATCTCAGAAAATTAGAATATTCTAAAGGCCAATGAAAAAATGTTTGTTTCTCTAATGTTGGCCAACTGAAAAGAATGAACATGAAAAGAATGTGCATGTATAGCACTCAATACTTAGTCGGGGCTCCTTTTGCCTCAATAACTGCAGTAATGCGGCGTGGCATGGACTCGATCAGTCTGTGGCACTGCTCAGGTGTTATGAGAGCCCAGGTTGCTCTGATAGTCGTCTTCAGCTCCTCTGCATTGTTGGGTCTAGCGTATTGCATCCTCCGCTTCACAATACCCCATAGATTTTCTATGGGGTTAAGGTCAGGCGAGTTTGCTGGCCAATCAAGGACAGGGATACCATGGTCCTTGAACCAGGTGCTGGTGGTTTTGGCACTGTGTGCAGGTGCCAAGTCCTGTTGAAAGGTGAAGTCTGCATCCCCATAAAGTTGGTCAGCAGCAGGAAGCATGAAGTGCTCTAAAACGTCCTGGTAGACGGCTGCATTGACCCTGGACCTCAGGAAACAGAGTGGGCCAACACCGGCAGATGACATGGCACCCCACACCATCACTGACGGTGGAAACTTTACACTGGACCTCATGCAACGTGGATTCTGTGCTTCTCCGCTCTTCCTCCAGACTCTGGGTCCTTGATTTCCAAAGGAAATGCAGAACTTGCTTTCATCAGAAAACATAACTTTGGACCACTCAGCATCAGTCCAGTCCTTTTTGTCCTTGGCCCAGGCGAGACGCTTCTTGCGCTGTTTCTTGTTCAAGAGTGGCTTGACACACGGAATGCGACACCTGAATCCCATGTCTTTCATGAGTCTCCTCGTGGTGGTTCTTGAAGCGCTGACTCCAGCTGCAGTCCACTCTTTGTGGATCTCCCCCACATTTTTGAATGGGTTTGTCGTCACAATTCTCTGCAGGGTGCGGTTATCCCTAGAGCTTGTACACTTTTTTCTACCACATTTTTTCCGTCCCTTCGCCTGTCTGTTAATGTGCTTGGACACAGAGCTCTGCGAACAGCCAGCTTCTTTAGCAATCACCTTTTGTGTCTTGCCCTCCTTGTGCAAGGTGTCAATGATTGTCTTTTGGACAGCTGTTAAGTCAGAAGTCTTCCCCATGATTGTGGTGCCTTCAAAACAAGACTGAGGGACCTTTTAAAGGCCTTTGCAGGTGTTTTGAGTAAATCAGCTGATTAGAGTGGCAGCAGGTGTCTTCTATATTCAGCCTTTTCAGAATATTCTAATTTTTTGAGATACCAAATTTGGAGTTTTCATTAGTTGTCACTTATGAATATCAAATTTAAATGTAATGAACATTGGAAATACATTGGTCTGTGTGCATTGCATGAATATAATGTACAAGTTTCACGTTTTGAATGGAATTACTGAAATATTTTCAACCTTTTGATGATATTCTAATTTACTGGCCAGCACCTGTACATATGAAATATCAACCTGATTGGTCTTCGAATGTTTAATCAGAAGATTCTAAGGATCTTTGCTTCTTTAGGGACCATAAACACACTTCGTATTAATTCAGACAGACTCGGGTATAAAGTTTATAAAATTAATTTTAAAAAATTTCTTAAACTAATGATTATTATTACGTTTGATGCTCACATCAACTCTGTCATCCGCTCCAGTTTCTTTCACCTGAGACGCCTTGCAAAAATCAAGCCTATGCTGTCAAGAGCCCACCTGTAGCGGGTACTCCATGCTTTTGTAATTTCTAGACTTGATTACTGCAGCTCTCTATGCAGGGTTGTGTCAGTCATCACTGCGTCGCCTACAGGTTGTGCAGAACAGCGCAGCCAGGTTCCTGACTGGGACCAGGAAACGGGACCACATCAGTCCAGTTCTGTCCTCCCTGCACTGGCTTCCGGTCTGTTATCCTTCACACTTTAAACTCCTCGTCTTTGTTTACAATTTCTTCCAGGGTGGTGCTCCCCCCTATCTAGCCACACTCCTGAACAGACAATCCCCATCTCGCGCTCTGCGCTCCTCTGACCAAGGCCTGCTCGCTGTCCCTCGTTCTAAGTGTTGTACTCGCGGGGACCGGGCTTTCTCAGTCCTAGCACCGTCACTCTGGAACCAGTTGCCACCTTCAGTTAGGCTGTCCCCATCTCTGCCAGTTTTTAAGAGTCGCCTAAAAACACACCTCCTCCGCTTGGCATTCCTTGAACGTGTTCGAATTTGGCCCTTTTATGTTGATTTCATTTCCCTGTTTTCATTGGTCTCTTTATCCCTTGTTTTACCCATTTGTCTTCTACTAGAATGTTTTACCTTTTTTGTAATATTTGAATTGCTTTTATTTTCGATTTATTCATCATATTTCACTTTTCTCATGTACCATGTTCAGTGCCTTGGGCGTCCCAACAGGCGCTTTATAAATAAAGCTTTGATTTGATTGATTGATTGATTATACATGACAAGATATGAACAATGAGATGTGATGTAATGGATATGAGGTGATTTAATGTGATGTGTGAAATGTTGTCATGGAAGCTAGAGGTTGTAGCAAAACCATTCTTTGTATCTAAGAGAATTTGTGAAGTATGGGTTGTAAAATAATTTGTTGTTGTTTATAACTAGAATTGTTTATTTAAAAACCATTCGACGTAATCTGTGCCAACTCTAAGCACCTTTTGTGTGGAGATTTGTTCGATCCAACGGGTCGAGAGGTCGTGCAGGTCACTGCCGGTGGAGTGGACCTCTGATATCAGGACCCCGTAGATTAGCTCCGAGGACCCATCTAGTCTGAGATCTCTCCAGGTGACTGCAGGAAGCTGGAATGCTTGGTTGCGTCTAAGGCTGTTTGTTGGATCTTAGAAGAGCCGTTTGATATCAGCCGTTGCAGAGAGGCTATGACTGGAGGTCAAAGGAGATGGTTTCAAAAATGCTTGTTCCCGAATTGGCCAGTTCAAGAGTCAGCTAGAAACTGAATTAATCGGGAAGTAATTCTTGTTTTAATAAACCAAAATGTTATGAGTTTTGGGCAAGTTTGGCTAATCAGAGTTTGACAGGTTTTTGAGTCTTTACCAAACATTCCTCAGAAAGTCACATCTTCAGATAGAAAGAGGTTTTTAACACTTTGTGAATGAGAATCTTTAAAACTTTTATGTGAGGTGAGTATTACCCTTAATGAGTATCTTATTGTAATGTGAATGAGTGTAAACAATGATTAACTTATTAAATCAACACGTACTGATCATTAGATCTGAAATGGATCATTGTAAGAGCAATATTCATTTTAAAGCCATCATTAGTTTAAGCACAGATTATTCAAACGTTTGATTTAAACATCTTGTTCATTCAACTAGGGCTGAAACGATTCCTCGAGTACCTCGAATCATTCGAGTACAAAAATTCCTCGAGTCAAATTCTCTGTTTCGAAGCTTCGTTTAATTCATGTTTAATTAATTGATGGCTTTGCAATCGCCCGTGGTCATGTTTCACCCGGACCGAAATAAGTGACGCACATACACCCTGCACTGAATGCACACGCGAGTAGCGAACGCAACTTAACTTTCTTTTAAGCCATGGCGGACAATGTGGACCCCGGTGGAGTGTGAAAAAGACAGAAAATGTCAAAGGTGTGGGACCATTTTTCACGTAAGACAGAAAACGTAGTCCAGTGTAAATACTGTAAAATGGATTTAGCCTACCACACCATATTCCTCGATACTGCAACCTGACCAGGAAACATCCACATGTAAACGTCTCTTCTGCAAGCGGATTCGGAGCCTCTACAAGATAATGCATTTTAGCCTGTATTTCTATATATTCTGCGGGCACTGTGACCTTTTCATTTGTAGCACTCAGTTTCAGCTCACACCGTACGTCTGGTAGCAACACGTTGGACTTAAAATGTGCTAAAAATAGCAGTTTTTACAACACGTCAGACTTTTTACTGTGTTGTTATTGATGTCCGTTGTCCCTCAGGATCGCTGCAGGAGGACACAGGTATTTATGAGTGGCGGAGGAAAACGAAAGAAAGTAAATAAATGTTGTGTGATCAGTATAATTTGACATAACCACGGCAAACATGCTTTCGACAATACTTGTTAGTGTGAGACAAAAAAAGTGTAGAAATTAAAACGAAGTTACAGTCCTGGACTCGCCACTAACATCAGCGGAGCTCCAGGAAGCCCTTAAATCCATGACGAATAGGAAAGCTCCAGGTCCAGACGGGTTCCCAGTAGAATTCTACAAAGAATTCTGGATCATTCTGGCTCCAATATTTTTCAGAATGGTGAGGGAAATAGAAGAGAGCAGCAGATTACAGCCAAACATGAATTCAGCCAATATTAGTCTCTTGTTAAAACCAGGCAAAGACCCGGCATTTCCTACCAGCTATCGCCCAATTTCTCTTATTAATGTTGATCTCAAAATAATTTGTAAAGCCCTG